ATGAAGCCAATGTTGTATATTAAATAGCGATGGTGTGAAGATGATGAAGGAGACTCCGCTGACGCCGTCATGCTTGTATAAGATGTTTATTACAAAGTAAAACAGCATCATATCAAGCACCATAAAGTACCTGAGAGGGGATCCGTGCCAATTCTAAAGTGTCCCCTCCAGAACAGAATATCCCAACTGCTTATATAGGGTGGTTATTATTGAAAAAAGAGACAGAACATATGGTCCTTTCTAAAATGATCTCATCTGTTTGGAACTAAGAGAGGCCCACTCCCTATGGGGCCTTTGGACCAGGGGGCTCCTAGCTTAAACATTCCAAATCTGCAAAAACAGAACATATGGAACTTCAGGCATCAACTTATACTGAAAGTTAAGAGTGTTTTTGCCTTCTTCTATAAAGCCACCATTTTAAATATACCCCATATCTCCCTTCGAGGCTCCACAGAGTCTCGAAAAACAAAAAAGTAACACATACATGTTTGCGGTTGTAACAAAATAACAGTTCCACCTACACATGCTTCCTACAGCGTCACCTTAGCAATACAACAACTTTCTGGAGTGTGAGAACAAAAAAACCTGTCAGGCAGCTATCTTTCCTGAAATGTCCATCAAACAATCTAGACAGGAAAAATTCTCTCACAGCCCCTCTACCTTAGGCGACCACATAGAGTACTCCAGACCACTTTAAAAAGGAGGAATTTTCACAAGTCGTGTAGGGATATGACTTAAGCAAATACATATGGAAACCTCAAAAAAAAATCAAAACAATGTCCACATTCAGGCTGGTCGACCCATCGGACCTTCCAATGGACCTTTCCCTGCCTAACACCAATATCCCTAAACACCCGAAAAAAGAAAACAACATCTGAGGTCCCAATGTACTCACCCCATAACAGAAAACATCAGTCTTCAAACAATTAAAACAAAGAAAGTGTTATAAATTTAAGTACTACTCAGTAAACAACTCAAACACTCAATCCAACTATATGTCTTACTAAGATTATCACTACCTTATAAATGTCCTCTATCAATATCACAAATTACAATATAATAGAACAAAATCCAATACTATGCAAAAATATATATGTAGACATAAAAATGTATCACACTGCAGCTCCTCAGCAGCATCGACTCTCAGTGTAGTGTCAATGATGTGTTGACTCTGGTCATTGTATCACAGTGTCCTTATTCAAAGTCCTTCAGTCCAGTCTTATTGTCCATGCACATCAGGGTCCCCGAAGATCCAACCACCCTCACAGTGGCCTTCCCCCAACATCGTTCTTGAAAGAAAGAAAAGAAAACCACCAACCAGTATCTTTTGCAAAAACAAAAGATGCAAATTGAAACATCAAATACAGATTAACACCATATAAGTAAATGTGAAATTCACAGTATCATACTTTCACATTATTCCAAGTTATAAGTCACATTTTTCCATTTCCCCCTGCAATCATCCCACTCTATAGTAAGAGACCACTAAAGACCAAAATAGTAACAGAAATCAATGTTAAGACTATAATAAGAGTTGATATTCAAAATGGATATTTCTCCATCAGTTCACCTTCTATCACCACTTCTTCGTCATCATCTGTGTCAGTCCTATGTAGTAATGGCATCTGAACTTGATCTCCAGGCATCACAACGCCAAACCATCTCAATATCATAGCCTTCGCAAAGGTCAACAACAACGTACAGAAACAGAACATCACACTCACAGATAAGAACTGCTACCATAATCTGACCCAATACTGCTCCCAACGGTCCTAATTTCTTCTCTCCATCCAGCTCCTTCCGATGGGCCAAACGCATCCCATATACGCTTCAATGCATCTATGACACTAGTCATACTGTCAGAACTATCAGCAATCAAAGTATAACAGGCATCCCCAGTTAAGTTCAAAGCCACACATAGGCCCCCTTGTTTGGCCAAAAGATAATCAAGAGCCATGTCATGTTTCAGCAACGTCAGTCTGTGACTCTTTTGAGTATTTGACAAGTATTCAAAACCTCTTATAGTCTCATTTGCAAAACCCTGTAGGGTGTAGGTAATATTTTCAATGTGATCTGCCAAAAATGTCACACCAGACCATGGAAATAATCCTATACCCCACTTCTCTCCTAGACTTAACCTCCAATAGTAGGACTCCAGATTATGTAATTGTGCCAGTTCCCTTTTCTTCCTACTTCCAGAAATAGCATCAGATTGAACCTCATCAGATACTTTTCCTTCTGGACAGTAAAAACCTCATATGGCAGCTTCAACGTTCCACCCATACGGTAGAAATATATATGCCTTATTACCACAAACCCCACAGATTTCACTTCCAACGGATCAGGGATCGCTGTTATCATATTTTCATGCTGATCAAGTAAATTCACATATGGTAACTCCCCCAACCAAGAACAATTATGTTTAGATCTAAACAGATGCACTGACAGAGACATCACCTTATCTTCTGCTGATTGCTGCTGATATAACAGCCACTATAATGCATAAGATTGACATTTAGCACTTAATGGTTCTGATATCGTCTCCAAAATTGAAGGCCATGTACCTGGTGTTGGAACTTTCACCACACATGGACAATTCAGCTTCCTAACCGATCTTACAGAATGAGTTAACTGCTGCAACCATAAGTTCCTACCTGCCCATGGGTCTGCGATTTGTAACACCTAGGGATCAAATCCATATGCCTTCCACTACACAATAATAGTCAGTCATGTCTTCTGGTGTCCAGTCAAAGTAAAAAAAAAAACTCACCTTCTACATCTAAAATAGTCCTCTGAGCTGTCACAGATGAATCTGCATCATGCACTTCCACCATCTGTTCTCTAGGTTCAAAAATCTCATTATTATTATTCACACTAAGCTCTATCCTTAAACATAGGTTCCTGGGTTATATTTCCTACTTCTATAAAGTTCAAAAATGTCATATCAGGTGTCTGTGTCACTTTTACAAATTTCCTAGGTGACAAAGGTAGAAATTGTCGCCATCCCTGTAGCAGCATTCATCCCCTTCAATGTCATAGCTAAAGTAATAGCCTGAATTGATGTATTAACATTCTTAGTTGTTTCCGGAGCTAAAGTAGTAAGCTTCATTGATGCAATATTCACCCTTGGAGTGGTTGCTGTGGTGAATCGTCCCTGAACTCTTGTAGCAACCATGAAAACTCCAGTAGAACTCAAATCTTCTATCATAACTACTACCTTATGAGTTATATAACCCTCTCTCCACACATTGTCTTTTGGCTCTCTTGAGTCTTCAACATCTCCTCTCTTCTTTGCCTTCAGCAACTTACTCCTCTGTAATCTTTTTCCTAACCTCCCCCTTTGCAACATGAGCTGACCCCTGTGCCTCCTCAATCATCAGACCTCACTCCGTGTCAGCAATGATCTGCTGACTCCTCTCTCTCTCTCCTTCTCTATATACATACACTTTTCTCTGTTTTTCTCTCCTTCTGTCTTTCTGTCTCTCTCTCCTTCTCTCATCATTTTCTTTTCTCCCCCTCTTTCTGTTATTCTTCTCTTTTCTGTTTCTTCTTCTCTCTATCTTTTTATTTCTCCCTCTTTCTCCTCTCTAATTCTCACACACCCCACAGGTGGATAAAGGAAGAAACAGATCAGAATTAAGTATCAAATAAACCCACTAGATATTTTTAACAACACAAAAGCAATTCAGTATGATTCACGTACGTTATCTGCCAACACTTAGGTCATCAAATGTTTTCCTCCTTTAAACACCAAGTTATCATCAATAAAGAAATCTCAGTTTATTTCACTCTAATAACACTTTAAATACTTCTTTACCCATGCACACAAAATATCCTCACTGGTCTCTCCACTCCTCTCCAAAATCATAAACGTCCTTCCTGGGGGCTCATACACCTTAACCTACAAATGTCCCCTCGAAAGAGGCTCATAAAGCTTATCAAAGTCCCCTCGAAAGAGGCTCATAAGTTTTATGTGAATTCATAAAGTCCTCTTTTCTGAGGCTCATAAGTTTTAACAAAATCAAAAAATGTCCTCTCAAAGAGGCTCATATGTTTTTACACATTATCATTTATACATTCCTAAAGCCAGCTGGAACACAGCCAAGACAAACAACACACACACACAGAAGTCTTTCAGCTTCGCACACACACAGTAAGGGAGGGGGGGCAATGTCCCTCACACAGAAACACTCAGCGAGCTCAAAAAATACAGAAGACAAAAAATAACATTTAATCCTATAGCATGCTTTTTCCTGCCGCTTCTTTTTCTCTTTTCCTTCTAAATTTATGCTGCCTTTATGAGGTGTGAATATTCAGTAAAAAGCCGCTTCAGACACTGTTCTTCAACTAGTGTTCGAGTGGGAGCTTTACAATTGAATTTTCTATTCCACACCTCCATTTCCTTTGAACTGACCTGAAATTCACCTAGTGATTTACCAGGATTTTAGGCCCGTCTAAAACCGCCTCCCAGAGGGCTTTGGTCCAAATCTGTGGCTCCTTTTCTCTTTTAACTCTTATCTTCTCTATTTTCTTTAACTTCTCTTATTTCTCTTTAACTCTTCTCTATTTTCTCGCCTGAGATCTGGGATGGGTCGACCAGAAGGGTCAACCAGCCTGGGCTGTTACTTTCACTTTTTCCCGTTTTTAACCTAATCTGACTATTTCTCTAAGCCAACTTTCACACAGTGACTAATATACACATGTCTTACTATTAAGAAGATAAGGGCCCAACCTTCATTAATCTCGCATGGTGTTATTTAGCTCACCTTATCATTACTGATTAGGCTATTCTACACTTTTACATCAACTTTCCTTTTCTCTATTATACTCCTCCCTTTTTGCGGCGTGTACAACGCAATAAAACCCCAATTTAGAACGGAGAAATACTCCAAACATCAACACAACATGGCATGCACACACGTAATTCTTTATGGTGCAACTAGACAGCAAACACCCAATAGCCCTAATGAACAAACCAGCGCTCACCTGAAATGCCGGCTAGGTGTGGGAGTAAGTGCGCTAAAGGTGTCGGCGACGCAGCCAGCCACAACACGTCCAAAGTTCGTGACCCAAATTCTTGTGGTTTATAAAATAGCGATGATGTGAAGATGATGAAGGAGACTCCGCTGACACCGTCATGCCTGTATAAGATGTTTATTACAAAGTAAAACAGCATCATATCAAGCACCATAAAGTACCTGAGAGGGGATCTGTGCCAATTCTAAAGTGTCCCCTCCAGAACAGAATATCCCAACTGCTTATATAGGGTGGTTGTTATTGAAAAAAGAGACAAAACATATGGTCCTTTTTAAAATGATCTCATCTGTTTGGAACTAAGAGAGGCCCACTCCCTATGGGGCCTTTGGACCAGGGGCCCCCAGCTTAAACATTCCAAACCTGCAAAAACAGAACACATGGAACTTCAGACATCAACTTATACTGAAAGTTAAGAGTGTTTTTGCCTTCTTCTATAAAGCCACCATTTTAAATATACCTCAACAATAATGTAGTGAATAATGAAATATAATAACTGATCAGCTGGATTTTAATACAGAGTTTGCTGGACAAAACAAACAGGTTACAGACAGTCAGAGAAGCAGCACACAGTCAGACTTACTGAGGAGAGAATCAGACTAACTTCTCAGAAGCTACAGAGCAGCAGATCTCAGACTTTAAACTAGCTTCACTTTTTGATCTAATTTGCTGTTTCAGTTTTAGAGCTCATTCATTTTTCATCTCAGACTATAGAATATCAGACAGGAAAACACGATCTGAAAGAGGAGAAAATTATTATTGTAAAGTGTTTAAAAATCTAATTGTAAATACAGCAGCAGCTGGAGTTCTTTAAAGGGCTCATATCCCACATTGTCTAGTATTTTATTTCCCCCCAAAGTCCACTTATAACATTTGTGTGGTTTTATATATAAAAAACAGTCAAAATTCATTTTTACAAGATAATTTTCCATCCTCTCTTCATCAGTTAATGTGGCTCATTAAAAAGCAGTGCAGGCTGAAACACTCCTTATAACTTCAGTGTTGATGGGCAGGGCTAAACTGCTGTTGGCTAAATAGACAGATATATGTTAATGTGTTTTTTTGTGACATCACAACCACAGTGAACTCAAAACAGGCTGTATTATAGTTTCTATATATACTGTGTGAACTGCAGAGTGAACAGCACATTCTGAAACTTTAAACCTCTTGAAAATGATATTTTCCCTGATGTGGGTCTTTAAAACTAAACAACAGCTTCAAGTCTTACTAAAGAAAATACTGATCTAATGTTTTGTTTTATATGTTTTCAGTATTTTAAAAGTTCTTATTTTGTCTCTGATCAGAGTCTCGAGTTGAGGAAGTCTTTGTTCGTCAGGTGAGCATATTATTCTACATAAATCACACTTTTAGTAAAGAATATGGTTCTGTATAGAACCATTAACAGTCGACAAACCTTTTGCAAGGTTAAAGGTTTCTTTGCGTCATCAATGGTTCTTCACATTGATGGAGAATGTGTTGTTTATGGTTCTGTATAGAACCTTTTTAAAAGTTTTCCTCATAGCACCTAAAAGGGTTCCTCTGTTGTACATAAGCTTGACATAACAGCTGGATGTAACAGTAAAATAACCTTTTTTCATGCTGTATAGAACGATTTTCAAAAAGGTTCTAAATAGAACCAAGAACAGCGCGTTCTCCATCAATCTGAAGAATCTTTGATGATGCAGAGAAACCTTTAATCCTGTAAAGGGCTCTTTGAGTGTTCATGGTTCTATATAGAACCCCTTAAAGAACCATCTTTTTCAAATGTTTCCTTAATAATCTACTTTAATATGATTTTTAAATCTATGAATATAGATATTATTGTGTGTAAAAGCCGTTCAGGGCTGATTGTTGATAAAGTTTACATCTTCATTTCTGTTGATTCTCTTTCATGGTGTTGAGTTAAGTGTTATTACAGTGTTGATGCTGATCAGTGTTCTGTAAGTGATCATGATCTTCAGAAGCTGCAGAGCTGAACTACTTTAATTCCTCTTTTCTGATGCTGCGTTTCTGTGGATCTGTTACTCACTTCCCATGAGCTCATGACTGATGAATGATTTATTATGAAAACTAAAAGATGAAAAAGAGCTCTTATTCAGTTATTAATAAAATATTATTTATTAATAAATATTATTACATTATCAGCTCTGCTCATATTTCACACACTCTAATAGACAATTACAGTAAATTAAGAATGAATTCATATATCAATTAAAATAAATTTATTCATTATTATTTATTATTTATTTTTGGTAAAATTCAATCAATACAGTTTCTGTATTTACTGTTATTAATATCAGCTCTCAGTGATTCACACTGACACATCAACAGTGATTTAAACAGAGAAACAGTTATTGATCATATAACATACAGAATGACATCATGAATGAATCTTCACACTGTTTTATTCTCTTTTACAGAGAGACAGAAACTGGACAGAAGAGGAGAGACTGAAAATGGAGGAATCTGCTCTGCTGACCGGTGAGGATGACCATGTTTATTTTTGTAAGCGTGTGTGTTTTTGAGGTTATGTTGGTATGATGTGTAGATCAGACTGCTGATGAGTTTTATAGATTTATGAGGTTTTACAGCTTTTACTGAGGTTTTTCCATCAATACATCATTATATTGAGCAGTTTATATTAAAGAGAAATGATACTGAACCGTCTGTGTGATTCATTTTAAAGAGAGATTAACTTTCTCTCCTCTATATGAATCATTATACTGAATCAGTTCAAAGTCAGAGTTAAAACCCATTTCAGACTTTTTACTGACTTGGAATTTAAACTAAACACCTTTTGCTTTAAGTGACACAATTAATTAATTAATTAATTAGTTAAATAATACAAAAAAGTTTACTTAATTCTAGATAATATGCTTTTCATTAATGACCTTTCTTAATGTTACACGCTGATTTTCAGAATTTGGGAGGCATTTATTTCAAAACATTGGGGTCTGACTGCTCACTAGGGGTGGGAATCTCTAGGCACCTCATGATTTCAATTACGATTCAGAGGCTGTGATGCGATTATAAAACGATTATCGATGCATCTTTTTTTCTCTACAGGATTTCTATTTTCTCACTGTGTGAGGTACTTTTAAAGCAAAGTATCTGTAATGATCCATAATGAATTTACTTCCAGTATCTTTTATTAATAAATCAAATGGAAGTGATGTGGTAAGTGAACTGGAAGGTTCTCATTCACTGCTTTTGTTTGGAGCACATGAGACGCTGCTGCCACTCATCTGTGATAAAACGTGCTGTTAGGGTGACATAAGATCCAGAGGCAGTGGATGTCCATGCAGCACATGTTACAGCTGTTCTACCCGTTTACTTTAATGATTTTATAACTTCAGTTTTGGTCTCGTTGTGGTGGTGTCGCTGTGTCAGTAAAACATCTTCGAGACAGTCTGCTGTATCTCAGCTCTAAAGTGTGCAACATTGTGCGAAAGCTCTGGTTCTCAACGATTGAGAACGAACGCAAATCCTTGTCAATAAAAGTTATGATAGAGTTTCTAATTAGATAGAGTTGGGTGGAAGTTTTGACATCACTCACTCAGTGTTCCTCTGGTTGGCAGCGAGTACAACCGGTAGGAAAACAGGTGGAAACATGTAATATGGTTTCTCATGTTTGACGTTTCCAAAAGATTTTACTTTAGTGTGACACAAATTGCAAATAGTGTGACTCTTATTCTGGTCCCTTTTCCCCTGGCATGCAGACTGCAGGTCACCTAGCAACGCAGTCTCGCCTGGCTAGTAATGTTAGCTAATGTAAAGAGAGAGATTTAAGACAAATATTTGGTGATGAACTGCCTTATTCTCATTTATAAGCAACGCAGTTGGTTTCCTGGTACGATAAACCTGCAACAAGAAACTGTCAAACACTAAAAAGTTGCGAAGCTGAAGTCTTTTCTCTTTCGATTTTTCCCGTTCCACCTTAAATGGTGCCGCATTTATATTCTGGCGCCTCAGGCAGAATTTAAGGTGGACTGATAAAATTCAAACAAGAAGCTGGAGAATGAGAAGCGGCTTCAGCCTCATAAATCAGTCGAACGCTGAGAGACATTTTACAATAAACTGCTCTACTTTTGAGATAAGGTTTTCTGGCGGAGATGGGAGGAAAGCGGCTAAAGCTAAAGCTTAAAGCAGAGCAAGAAGTAAGTCTGTGCTCTCGTTTATATTGTTTAGCCTAGACTAGGACATCAGCACATACTGAGACGTACTGGTTATTAAACATTGTGGCTCCCAGGGTGGTTTGATTTTTGTTGAAAGGACAGAATGGCTCTTCTTAACATTGGGATTGTGACTCCTGACCTAACCTGGCTTTTAATGCAGAGGGAGCCAGTCGGATTTCTCACTCATCCAGCTGTGTTTTTGTTGTGTGCCGCCACAGACTGTCCGGGCGCTGCACTTCTGCACTTCTAAGTTCCGCCTTATGTGTTCCGTCAACATTATGTTATAAATTAAATATTTAGAAAACATCATCAAACATCATCCTCATAAACATCTAAAGTCTGACTACTTAAAATACTACAGTTTGAATAAGTTTGAAGTTACAGCTTAAATTAATTTGGTAGGATGTTCCATACATTTATATCAGTCTCTATAATTTTTACAGAAAATAACATTAAATTGATATATTACACTCAGCAAATACGTAGGAATTATGCACCAAAATTGGCAGAAAAATGCCATGTTTATGAGTGTTCACTGAACTTATTTCCACATAGAAAATCAACAAACCACATAATTCAGCAAGGGGTCCTCAAATGTGTGCATATGACTGTAAATTAGTAAATCTAAAAATGTTCTCTGTAATGATGTTCTGGTGTTTGTGGAGTCCTTTCAGATATGAAGAGCTGAATGGTGTCTCTCTGTGATGTGTGTTGTTTGAGTGAACAGAGCTGTGAGTTCAGAGTTTGATACAGTGTGTTTGAGATGGTCATCTGTGTTTATCTGGACATTCAGTAAATCTTCAGTGAGTCGGGTCTAAAGGCTCTTTACCTGAAGATCAGTGTTTGTTAGAGCTGCAGGCTGTTTTGTGGCAGGAGATGTAGATGCAGATGTGATTTTAGATCCTCAGAGGTTTCTCTGTTTCTTTCTCTTATTATGGAGGGAATGTTGGATGGATGGATGTTCATATTTGTTTATATGTTAAAGCTTTTTTCTTTAACGTTTCCCTCGTCATCATACACTTGATGACAGCTGGTTGCAGAGTTGTTGACTGGTATTCATTAAGAGGTCATTCAGACTGATGAGTAAAATTGAACGAAAGCACAAAGCTAGTTATGCAAGTGTTACCAGTCTTAATGCTTGTTTATAAACAAAACAAGCAAAATATTCATCATTCATAAACACTGAATAACATCACACAGATATTTGATAAAAATCCAAATACAAAGGCAAATTGAATATCAAATCATAACCATTAATTAATTTTCTTTATTTTGTAAATTAATATCATTATAATTTAAAATTTACGGTATAAAGTGAGTTTCACACTGTAAAAAGTTTTATATTTGATATGGTTTGTCTTTATTTTTGGTTTGTAAAAACCCCAAATGTGACAAAATACAAAATAAACTAAATTCTCTGAATCTGAATCATCATTTCAGAATTAAAAGAGGAGAGTCTTTCTGTACTGAAGAACTTAATGAGCTTAACTGAAGAAAAGAAAGCAGAGGAGGAAAAGCTGAAGAGAGCTGAGACTGAACTGGAGAACACAGCCGAACAAACACACAGTAAAGAAGAAGAACTAAAAGAGAGAGAGACCATCAGAGAGATCAGTCTGGAGATCAGAGAGATGCAGGAAAGAAGAGTGAGAGAAAGAGTGGAGATGAGACAAAGAGAGGAAGAGGAGATCAGAGGAAAGATGAGAGCTGTTGTGGATGATTTGAGGAGCTCAGAGGAAGCAGGTAAAAAGATAAAGGAGAGAATAAAACAGCATAAAAAACAAAAAGATGAATGTGAGGGAAAGTTATCAGAGGAGAGAAATGAGGAGAAGAGGAGAGAGCTGGAGAGAGGAGTGGAGAGAGAAGATGAGCAGATGAAGGAGGCTGAAGAGGAGCTGAAGAGGATGCAGGAGGAGAGGAGGATGATGGTGAAGAAGCTCAGACTGGAGATGGAGATCAGAGAGAAGAGTGCAGTAAAAGCAGATACACACTTCATCAGGAAGCTGCCTGAACTCATTACTCAGACTGATATAACAAACAGACAGAAAGAGTTTGATAGAGAGATGGATGAAAAAGAGAGAGAGATAGAAAGACTGAAACTAAACCTCTCAGAGATGGAGAAAGAAAAAGAAAAGCAACTAGAAGAGAGAAAAAAGACTTTAGAAGAGAAAAACAAACAACTTGAACAAAAAGACACTGAATTAGAAAAACATACAAAAACAATAGAGAACAAAAATAAAACAATAGATGAGAAGAATGAACTGCTGAGAGAGAAAGAGACTCTACTGGAGATCACAGTGAAAGAGGTGGAAAGCAGTAAAAAGCAGCTGGAGACTCTGAGAAAGGAGCTGCAGGACAAGAGCAGCAAACTACAGGAGATGATGATCCTACTGGAACAACAGAAAACTGAACTCACCTGTCAGCAGAAAGAGTTAGAAGAGAAAGAACAACAACTGAAACACACAGGTAAGAATTTAAGACACAGACTGATTGTAAAATATCTGACTGATAAATTAATATTCTGTCTTTATCATTTCAGCACAACAGAATTCAGACCTACAGACTGAAACTGAAACCCTGATGGCTGGTGAGTTTACATGTTTAACAGTCAGACTCAATCTTTATTTACTATATTAGTGAATGCAATTAACTTATAACAGTATTTAACAAATACACCCTTATATATATATATATATAATATATATATATATATATATATATATATATATATATATATATATACATAAAGTACATCATAATTAAATAACATATTAACACACATGACCAGTTGAATGTTTGGACACACCTATGCGAATAAGCATTTTCTGTCATTTTTATCTAAGAGCTTCTGGCCAATGACCACTGGGATAGGCTCCAGCAACCCCAGCGACCCAGAAGGATAAGCGTTTAGATAATGTGTGTGTGTGCATCTAAAGGCTGTTGCTCGAATATGAATCAAGCTGCATCTAAGACAAATACATTTAGTCACGTTAATACATGTGTATGAAATGAATGTCTTTCAGCGCTAAATGTACGGCCTTTAATTCTGCTGGAAAAGTGTCTCTGGTGGTTGAGAGTGAATGTGTGTGAAGCTGCATCAAGACTGAGGGGCTAATTTCAAAAAGAATGTAAAATCTGTGATATTTTTATATGCTGTACACTGTTTTCGCTCTCTGCATGATTGTATGTATTAATTTACATTTTTGATGTTTTAACTATAATTCTAAAATGTGGAAATAGTAAAAAAATCTCTGAGAAAAAGTGTGTCTAGGTGTGTCCAAACATTTGACTGGTAATTGTTTTTAACTGTCATTAATTAATATCTACTAATCTCCACTACATACTTCATTATTATATTCACCTCTTATTATTTTCCTGGCTTTCCTAACAGAGACATAAAATCTCTTCCACTTTCATGTTTCCTTACCAGCTAATAAACCCACTCACTCTGCTGTTCAGTCTCAGTTCTGTGTATCTGTCAGTTTGGCAAACTGTAAATTCAGAAAGTCTCAGTTTATTTTTTCTTACAGATTTAACAGAAAAGACCAAACAGCTTGAAGAAACAAAAAACATTCTAAAGGAGAGAGAAAAACAAGTGGAGGAGAAAGACAGACTTCTGACAGAAAATACAACAACACTTCAGATGAAGGAGAAGATTTTAGAAGAGAAACACAAACTTCTCACAGAGACACAAGATGAACTGAGACAAACAACAAAGACATTAGAGAATCATAGAATACAAATGGAAGAAATGGAGAAAAGACTTGTGGAGAAAGATGAAGAATTAAAAGAGACAAAACAAGAACTGAAAGATAAAAACACGATTATTAAAGAACATTTAGAGACTGTTGATAAGAGAGATTCATTATTAAAGGAAACTAATGAAAGATTAGAAAGTGTTAATAAACAGCTTAAAGATAAAGACTCACAACTGGAGAATCAGATCAAACTGCTGAGAGAGAAAGAGACTCTACTGGAGATCACAGTGAAAGAGGTGGAAAGCAGTAAAAAGCAGCTGGAGACTCTGAGAAAGGAACTGCAGGACAAGAGCAGCAAACTACAGGAGATGATGATCCTACTGGAACAACAGAAAACTGAAGTGAGTGAAAAAGACAAACAGCTTGAAGAGAAGGAGAGACTTCTAAGTGAGAGAAACACACAGCTAATGGAAAGAGACAAGCAGGTTGAGGAGAAAGACAGACTTCTAGAGGAGAGAAACAAGCAGCTGCAGGAGAGAACAGATCCAGACTCAGCAGCTCCAGCCAGAAGGAGAAACAGCAAAGAGTTAGAGCCTCCACACTGTAAGTAAATACTAAGGTTGCATAAAGTTAAAACATATATCACTATGAAACACTAACTACACACTGGAGGTGTTACTTTAGAATGTATAAGTGTGCTTCAGAAAATGGATTTCAATCCAAATTTAAATAAAAAAAGTCAACTGCTCTATGATGTGCACTTTTATTTATGATAACATCAACATTTTGTGATTAAATCAAAATATTAAACAGCAACAGTATAACCTGTATGTGTATTTCATGAACTATACTATCTACAAACAATATCTAATCTCCATTATGTCTGATTCTTCTGTTTCCTAGTCAGTGGAGAGACTCCAGACTCAGCAGCACCACTCAGGAGAAGAAACAGTAAAGAAGGACTTCATCCAAATAGTAAATAATTACACTTTCATAATTTTTTTATAAATATTCAGAGAATTATATCCACATACAGTAACATCATTTCCTTATTCTTGTTGATTCACAGTGAGTGGAGAATCCTCTAGTTCAGCCTCTCCAGAGTCAGTTCCTGTAGCAGAGCTCAGGCTGGTGCTGCTGGGGAGGACTGGATGTGGGAAGAGAGCAGCAGGAAACACCATCCTGGGCAGAGAGGAGAGGAGCCAGGCTGGAGCGTCTACAGTGAGGCAGCAGAGTGAGAGCAGACAGGGGGAGGTGGCTGGGAGGCAGGTGACTGTGGTGGACACTCCTGACTGGTTTTGTCCTGGACTCTCTCTGGAGGAGCTGAGACAGAACGTGGGACTCTGTGTCCGTCTGTCTGCCCCAGGACCCCACGCCTTCCTCCTAGTCATACCAGTGAAGCAGTCTACAGGAGAGGAGAGAGCCATGCTGGAGAAAATGGAGGAGATCTTTGGAGAGAGATGTTGGAGGAACTCCATGATCCTTTTCACTGTGACTGAGGAAGTCCAAGAGAAAAACATTGAAGAGTTTATCCAGTTAGGAAACCAGGAGGTCCAGAGACTTGTAGAGAAATGTGGGAACAGGTTTCACTGTCTCAGCATTAAGGAGAGTGGAGATGGTTCTCAAATCTCAGAGCTGCTGGAGAAGATCGAGAAGATGGTGGAAGGAAACAGAGAGAAATTCTACAGCAGTGAGATCTACCTGGAGACACAATCTCAGATCAGAGCAATGGAGACAAAAATCATGAAAGAAAGAGAAGAAAAGAAGCTGAAAGAAGAAAAAGAAATTAAAGAAAAACTTGAAAAGGAGGTGCAGAAATCTTTGAGAAAGATAGAGGGAGCAGTACAAGAGCATGAAGGAGAGATAAAACAACTGAATGACCGAACAACTGAGCTAGAGAGAAGGATGAAAGAAGAGAGGGATGAAGAGAAAAAGAGAGAACTGGAACGAGAGCTGGAAAGAGAGTTAGAGCGAAGAACAGAAATGGAAGAAAAGGTGAAGAGACTAAAAGAAAAGAGAGAGAGGGAGAGGAAAGAGATGGAGGAGAGACACAGACAGGAGATGGAGGAGATCAGGGAGACGTATGAAGGAGAAGCCAGAATGGAGGCAGAGAGGAACCTCATGAAGATCATCCTGCCTGAACTTCAGAGAAACATTTTGGTCTCAAAGTCAAAGATGCAGGAAGAGTTCAGCAGACAGATGGAGGAGAAGGATGGAGAGCTGGAGACACTGAAACAAAGCCTCTCAGAGCTCAGAAAGACTCACTCACTTCTGGAGGAGGTGTATGAGAGAACAGTGAGGAGCAGCTCAGACTCAGAGAGAGCAGCTCCAGCAGGAGAAGGGGGGTCTAAGGGAGTCTCTCAGAGGTTCAGGGATTGGTTTTAGTGATGTGCTGAGAGACACATCCTTACAGAAAAGAGGTTCCTCAGTCAGCTGTGATGATCATGGAGAAACAGCATCAGGTGAAGAAGTACATAAAGACAGTCTAGAGGAATGTTAAAGTGGTTTTTGGTCTAGAAAAGGTTGTTTTGACTTTATGAATGAAGGGAAATATCACAGAGTTGTTTGATAACCTTCTGTGATGGAGCTTTTAGAGGCACTAAACTCTTCAGACGTCTGGTTCCTATCAGCACCACTGTGAACAATTCTGACTCTAGAACAGAACTTTTCACATCAGACAAATGATTAGTGATTGAATTATGCACAGATCAGGGACAATGTCTATTTACTGTAATACTAAAATGTGTTCAAGATGACGGTACATAAACCAACACCAGGTGAACAGTGGCCAGTTGTGCTATAATCACAATAAATGTAAAGGGGGTAAAGCCAGATAATCTCTTTACAGAGGATAGAAGCTTTACAACTGAATCAATTGTCATCTTATTCTGTCAGAATGTGTGATTTATATCAAATCATTTGTAAACTTTGCAAATTAGAAATGTATTTAAAAACTACAACATTTGAAATGTGAATTCTGTGTGAGTTTACATAAAAATGGTTAAAAATGTTGGCTAATTTTTGTTAGTTAGCATTAGCTATAGTTAATAAATAATGCATATACATATATTTATATAACAGTTAGTTCCAACCAGATTGGTTGAGAAGCGTTCTGTGTTATTTTTACAGTAACTGAGCGCCTGTTGCTAAGAAGTGACTCTGCAGCTGCATAACTGTTACTACGTTTCTCCTTCAGCACATACAAAATAAATAATGGAGACTAGACCTGTGCTGGTATTCAGCAATTCAGTATATGTACCATGATATTAACCACGCACAGTAATGTTATCATGGACACTTTGAAATACCGGCACTGCTTTTTAATCGAACACGTTGCATCTGAGATTTTTACACCTGCAGATCAGCTCCTCTTCCCCACTGATTACATGATACTGTGATATCGTCTAGGGGTGATCAAAATATCGATATCATCGATACCAATGTTGCAATTGGTATCGGATCAATATTAGCGTGATGTGATCGATACATCTCTCCTCTATGTTCAATATGTCGCTCTCTTTTCATCAAAAAGTAGACATGTCTGTGCAAAAACCGCTCCTTTCACATCTTGTGTGTACGCTTTGCAAAAACCTGTAACTGAAAAAGTTTTAAAACATTCATTTTGCATCATCTTTGCTGTCCTGGTTTTTAACATGATTAACTCCATAACAGTGTGAAGCAAAAATCACTAAATTACTTAGTGGTCATGAAAATGTATTCAGATTTAGCAAACTGATGATAGGTACACCTCATAAATCATGACACACTGCTCTCCCCTACATAAAAGTACATAAGCTGCTTTCATAAGTAAAAAGTATTGGTATCAGAATCGGTATCAGCGATACTGGCCCTGTATTAACTTGGTATCGGATTGATACACACACCACTGATATCGTTCCTGATTTACTTTGATTGAACTTTTTTTCAGTATGTTCTACACTAAAAAAGATGATACTTCAAACGTTCTTTAGTAAAGAAAATATATAGAACCATGAACACTCAAAGTACACTTTGCATGATTAAAGGGTTCTTTGTATCATGAAAGGGTTTGGACTGATGGAGAATGTACATGAATGTGCTATAGACAGTTCTATATAGAACCTTTTTTAAAAAGGGTTCTATATAACACCCAAAAGGGGTCTTATATTCTTAGAAGCTTGACACAGTAACAATACTTGAACCCTTTTGGGTGCTATATAGAGCCATGTAGAACCATCCACACCACAATCTCTATCAATCTGAAGAACCTTTTAATGATGCAAAGAACTCTTTAATCACGCAAAGCGTTCTTTATGTGTTCATGGTTTTAAATAGAACCTTTTTCTAAAGAACCTTTGAAGCGCCATGTTTTCTAAGAGTGTAGAGGACCTTTTAGTCGTCTTGCTCTGACTTTAAAAGCAATTTCGTGTACAGCTTCCTATAACTGCATATATCAGTATTATTCAGCATTATAAAACGGACAGTTCCAGTCCTAAAATCTGATCTGAGCCACATTCAAAGCCATTGTAAAATCCACAATATAGGCACACCTAGGACCGCCTCACAACAACTGAACTCTGTATTACTATGCCAAGGCCAAAAAAAAAACCCTTGTGCTTAGTTCTAACCAGAACTAGGCTGGTCGGCCAGCTAACAGGCTGAAACAACTGCATCATCAACATCACAGGTATGATATTATGATCTGATTAACTGTAAAATGGCAGTGTAAATGACCGCAATATGCAGCGATGGGCGACTGAACGTTCTCCACCTCATTCAGGGGTCCATTGGTTGCTTGGCAATGACACCATACTCTAAAGGAACTACATTTCTTGGCGGAATACTTGTTTATGTTGATTATTAATAATAATAACATTATTTTCTGAAAAATTGTGTATTTTAACATATTTTGTTGGCCGTAAGCCACTTGAAGCTGTGCATTGCTACAATTTTATCACAGGGAAGGGAGGGATGCTGATGACTGAATGGTTTCGGTGGAGCACCTCCCAGGAATGTATAATGATCCAGATCAAATATTAAAAATAGCCAGAGTACAACTACTCAGTAAATGTGCTGGAAATTCTTGCACCTCTTGAAAACACTGATTAAAACACTCTTAGAACTCCAGAACTTCGAACTGCTGCCATCTGGTGGACTTAGAAAGCAACAGCTGCAGTGCACGTTTAATAAGGAAGGAATCGTAAGGCATTTCTGGGAGAATAACAAAGTTTTAAACATTATAACATAAAACAGTACATCTAGCATCACTAGTATAAACTGAAAATCTTCAATTCATCATCTTCTAAAAGAAAAGAAAACTGCTCTGTATGTCTGGTTAGTACAACTTGCAAACCTAGTGAGTTATTAGATTTGACTCAAGTGGACACTGTGGTTTAATATTCAAAATACAGTTTAATATTCAAAATACAGTCATGAGATCTGTGCTGCTCTCTCACACACCCATCCCTCCACCTGCTCAGGGGTCACACCAAGGAGGTCACACTCAGAATCATCTTCATCCTGAGGAAGAATGCAGTCACAGTGAGAAAGGTTACTTTCAGTGGAGAGAAATATTGGCTCTCTAGATCTCACTATGCTTTCTGCTGCTTCACAAACTAGAAGAGTGGTCCTGTAAGCCAACCGCTCTGCACATTGTAGTGTTCTCCACGCTAAAATGTTTTTACATAGCTAAAATGTTTGTCATGATCTGTTCTTAGTAGTGACAGTGAGATGAAGCTTCATGAAGCGCTGAAGCTTCTCAGCCAGCTGTGTAAAATTGATTCACTTCTTGAAGCCTCAAATGCCCATCAGAAGCACCTAGTAGTCAAAAGAATATAGGCCTGTGAAATCTAGAGTGTCATGTAAGCAATGTAAAAAAACTATTCTTGAAAGTGCTTTGTGTTTTTTTATAGACTAGATGTGACCTTGAAATAAGTTCAACATGTACTGTGGGCACAGACATGATTCAGTTTCCTGCTTTTCCTTAACTCCTTATGTTGCTAGAGCTTTTAATGCTATCAGTTGTTCATCAGTTGTACTGCTTTTGATTCACTCATATAATCCTACGGTGGCCAGATTTCTGAAACGCAAACCAGGGACATTTCCAGTTAGGCGGTCAATATATCTTTAAAATATCCAATGTTTTTCTATGAAATAAAAAGGGGGGGGCAATTCCAGTTTCATGTATGTTGACCATGGTAACTGTTGCACTATGGTGAAAGCTGAATGATGTGGGGAGTGAAAGCTGAGTGAAAGGGGGAGATGCACTAAGCCACCACCAGGGGGAGCCACTTACAAAAGGTAGATGGCTTCTGTCGTGCCAGTGACAGAACCTCTGCTATAGAGCCGTGTCTGAGTAAGAGCTTGAATGTTAGTGTATGGTTTATTGGTGTTTTGTTGCTTGTTGTTAAGATTTTCATATAGATTATAATGTGTTGTGTCTCGTATTGGGAAGAGAGTCAATAGTATACCTGTACAAATTAGACAGACTACCTATCTCCTGGTAGTACGATTGAAGTCCCCTAACCCCACCACTGCTATAACCCCTGGGATGCCTTGTGTCTTAAAAAGATGTTTGTGGTGATGTTGTGGACTCACTCGACACTTGCTAGCCTCTGGTCGAGTTTTACACAGCAGCATTCTCTAAACTAGGTGAGTCCATCTGCTCTGCTGCCGGGTCTTTCTTAGGACTTTTCACTGTGTTTTTAATTCACATTTAAAAAGAAGGACATTTCCACCAAAAATGGTGACTGGGCTCAGAAAAGGGGGACACCTGGTCACCCTATGTAAAGTCTGTAAGACTGTGCTAGTGTCCTTTAATTGGGCAGCGAATGGAGCTTTGAGACTGAATACATTTCCACATGGACAGACGGGGGTGAAGTCTGCCAAAACTGAACCTGCTCTGGAAACAGTCCCTAAAGGAGGCTTCGAGTGATCGTCAATGCCGTCGTTTCAGGAAAAAAGCACAAGCATCAATAAGGGGCTTCAACTTAAAGTGCACTCAACACAAGCTCTGGTACCCCACTTAACATCCCTAGTTCTAGGAATTTGGAATATCTGTTCACAGGGACCTTAGGAAATGGACTGGACATTTGGTGTTTCAGTTTCTGCCTGACAACAACACCTTGCAACAGTGGCTTATTGTTTTGTTCTGTAAGAAAGTCACTCAGTCATAGAACCTGTACCTTCTTGTTTAGTTCTAGACTACTCTGAAATGCAGCTAAGGGATGGTGATCAGTTATCTTTGCTGGATTTACAGCAATGTGAAGACTGTGGTAGATACCATAAATGTGGAGTCAGAGTCTCCAGATCCGTCAGATTGGCTCCTCCTTACTATGAGGTGATTTCCTTTGGTGTGTGACTGCAGCCATTCCTACATATGCACACACAACCACAAGAAGGGGACACACATACACATATATGCCCAGTATCAGATCAATTCAGATAAGTATATTTACTGAAGCTGTACAGTGTGACAGTAAATCAGATGCTGCCTCATATTAGGGTTGAGATCTTTTAGTTTTGAGTGCAGCCATTATTGATTACTGGTAAAAGATTAACAAAGCTGCTATTATTATCCATGTACAGGGAGATTCACTCGAAAGAGGCCCCGAATATTCTGTTGTAACTCCCGTTAGGCTGTCCGGCGCCTACCTCATCGCTCCAATGCAGGGGCATCCTGGCTTGTTTGAAGCTCCATATGCTGAGGAGCACATCGCATGTTGTTTTGTTCAGATTGCTTTGTCCTAGCAAGAGTTATTACAGAATATTCTGGGCCTCTTTCGAGTGAATCTCCCTGTATTATACACAGAACAATGTGAAACAACCTGTCATAGGATTCTTCTTCTTGGTTTAGATAATGATTGAGATTTTAATACGCATTTTTAAAATAAATAGTGATTTGTTTATGATTATGCAAGAACTTAAATTGAAACAAAGACAAATCTTGTGGAAGTCCTTCAGAAAATTCCAACAAAGATTAAGAGACCCTTATTAGTCCCACAATGGGGGAATTTCACCTCCGCAATCTAACCCATCCTTGCAGTGAAACACCACATACACACTAGTGAAGACACACACTAGGGGCAGTGAGCACGCGGTGCGGTGGGCAGCCCTATCCGCAGCGCCCGGAGAGCAGTTGGGGGTTAGGTGCCTTGCTCAAGGGCACCTCAGTCATGTACTGTTTGCTCAGGGGATCAAGCCAGTGACCTTCCGGTCTGGTTCCCTAACCTCCAGCTCACAACTGCTCCCAAAGGCCAGGGAAACAATCATTACAATGAGAGAGATAAAAATAGAGAAGATTCTGCCCAATAAAATCAATCAGTTGCCTCATACTGTAATGAAGTGATTTTTTCTTTTCTCGTTCCTCAAAAAATGTGCTCTGTGTTTCAAAACACGACATACACTCTCCAGTCCATACAGTCCATATACAGAAACTAAGCTGCTAATACAGCTCCTTTTGACTTCATTGATTTTGTGACATCATGAGAATCAATTCAGTTACATACATCTACCCGTTCAGCCTATAGTAGTTTAGCTCTGAGTGCTGTGCCTTTAGAAAGTTGCCCAATACAGGACAGCCAATCAGAACAGAGCTCGGTTACCTTATATCAGTATTAAAGGCACAGTAACAATGAATGATGAGCATTTTAGGTACAAAAGTCCACACAAATGCTATGAGTGGACCTCAATAGAAAAAATAAAATAGTAAAATGTAGAACATGGGCCTTTTAGAAAAGTGGTTCTTTAAGGGCTCTTAGTAAAGGCACTGGTTATGTCTAGAACATCCAAAAAAATAAATACATGAGTAAATTTGAATAAATAAATGCTTCTTTATGGCTTTTCACCATAATGGAAAACGTTTTGTATATATTTCTTTAAAGAACCTTTAAAAATGGTTCTATATAGCACCAAAAAGGGTTCTCTTTTTCTTATTACAAGTCACAAAAACATTTATGGCTCTATATAGAATGTTTTTTACCAAAAATAAAATGGCAACTGGTGAAGTGTATTGGGCAATACCACATACTGTGAAATCAACAATAGATAAATACTTTAATTGTGTGTTTGTGTGTGTATTTAGCTCTCTGTGGTAACCTAATGGCTCTACAGTGATGAAAACATGAATACTGTCATTGTTGATGTGTTTATGCTGCTCTCCACAAGCAAAAAAAAAAAAAGTGCAACTTCAGTTCAACTGAAAAGTAAAAGAGGCCCAAGCTGATCTGAGGTGAAGATAAAGGTTTGGTTAAGTTTAGCACAGAAGGAAGTACCCCACAAAGGCAGGAATACAAACGTGCAGGTATCTGTGTGTTTACCATGTTGTGCTGTGTTACAGTGGCGAGGCTGGCGTTTCTGTTGGCACAGAATCTCTTGGCAGTGTTGCAGTCACCAAGCTCGTTCCGGAACAAATAAAACACGTTGTCATGGAGATGCCACACCTCTGTAATATCACAAAACACACCAAATGCAAACCACATTCACCTTTGTATTGGGAACGTCATGAGTACATTTGATGTAAATCATCTGTCAAGTAATCCACAAGAGGTAAAAGTAGGTTTGCATTTGTAGCCCAAAGGGAAACCACAAGTAGAAGTAACCTGGCTAGGAACCATATTTCACTCAAAGCCAAGGAAGGTTTTATGAACAGCTCATGCCAATAATGAAATATATGCTACAAGTATTTATAAAGCAAAAATGGTTTTGACATAACGGCCCTAAACTAAAGGGATTGACATTTATTCTATTTATAATACAAGCAACAGGCCTAAGTAATGGAACAGAGATCTAGTTAAGCACACCAGCCTGGAAAGTCCAGACAAACTGAAGATTACTGTACTGCACCTTTGCTCGTGCTCTGTCTGTTCATCACTCCCAGCGTCTGTCTGAAGTGAAAGACTGAAAGACAGCAGAAGAAGCTCTTAGCTTTACTTGCGCCCACAGCTGAAGCCCCCCATAAACAATGGGAGCTCAGTTCTTTAACAATGTCAAAAGAGAATGCCACCAATTTTTCAAGATTCCTGTATTTTTCAGGTGAAACATGAACAAACTCACTCACAGTGAAATGGATCATGGTAGAGAAACTTACACAATCAGATTTCTTTACAGTGGTGATAGGAACCAGGGGTCACTTTGTAAGCAACACAAATACAGCCGTTTTATTTACTATCCAAAATCACCAGTGAATCTAAACGTGTCTGAGTTTTTATATGCACTGGGGTGGGACCCTCAAGGGTACATCTCAGTGCCTTTGGTCAGGGAGCATAATTGTACCATTATCCACTGAAATTATATTTTCTAAGTTGTATTGACTCCACACACCCCGTCTCGTCTCCAGGCTTTTTATTTTATTGGTCTGTTTTAAAACATTCGGGTATGAAAAGGTACAAATATGTACTTTTCACCTGGAAAAACATATTTAAGGTGCACAATTGGACCTTAAAACCACTGTTGTACCTTTGAGGGTACATTTACATTGTTTGTACCTTGATGAATAAAAAGGTACCTGCACAGAACCTTTATTACTAATAGCGTAATAACCTTCTGTGATGTAGCATTTAGAGGCATTAACACGTCGTATGCCTGCTTTCTATCACCACCACTGTGAACAATTCTCAGTGCAAGTTCCTCTAACTGAGCACTTCACGTCAAACCACTCTGAACAACTTTATTTTCATCTTAACTATTAATAATGCAGGTTTATTTCTTTAATCAGAGGAAATTCTCTTTAAATACTCTTTCTGGAAAATATGCACACTTTTTCATTAGATATGAAAGGGCTAAAACTTACAGTGCACTGCTGAGATGATGAGGTTGAGGGTCAGTAAGAGAACAATGAGAGCTATAAGCAGGAACATCATCTTCCTCCCTTTATGATCACACAAACGAGATGCATATGTTATCCATGTGCATTTAACTAGCAGCCAAATGTGAATTATTATTATTATTATATTTTACCGTCATCGAGGCACCTCAAGCAATTATCAGCCTATCCATCTATACACCTTTACATCCATCTATATATCTATGCATCTGTTCATCTATTTCTTACCTAAAGCAGGTCGTTTGGTGGCATCTGTCCTTTGGGCTGTTGGAGGATACTGCAGACACTGATAGACATCCTCAGTTTTGGTTTCTGCTGTTTCTCTTTCTTCCCCATGATTGTATATGTTGAGCGCCACCGAACGCCTCTGCTGCAGCTCCATCAGGCCGACACTCCCAACACACAATCACAATAAGCGTTAACCAGCACCTCAGTCCAAATGCTGCAGACCCGAAGACTCTAGGAGACAGAAGGTTTTGGAAAGCTGACCGCTGTCGTGAGCTATTCCAGAAAGCGCAGACGTTTACAGTTTATAACACTTCTGCTTTTTCTGTTTCCACTTCCACTACACATTACTTCATCTTGACAACATTTCTCTGCATTAACAGCGAAACAGAAGACTTAACGTCTAGATCATCTTCAGTGCTTCGTGTCACTGGTGAGCTGGTTAATAATGGTTTTAACACCCATGTGTTATTAGCAGATCATAGCTATTATAGGCCTTTGAGGTTAGGTCATTTGTTAAGATGGTTAGCTCGCGTGTGCTGAGAAAGAGGAAGGGTTTGAAAGACGATGCTATAATTAATGAGCTAAGCAGAATTATTTTAACCACACACTGCTGAAATGGAACCTATCTGTGAAGGACTTGCCACGAAGAGATAGTATCACTCCCAAAGTGAAGAAACACATTCAAAAATGAAGAAGTGCTGCGTTCTAAGCTGTTAACCCCTTATAATTCCAGGCTTATTACTTACTAAGGCTTGTTATTCAGTAACTAAAGGGACTTGAATGCAAACTAATGGAGCTTTTCCATTAGAAGTGCGTAATGACTTGGTAAGGGGTTAAAGAGAAATTCCACCAATATTATTAAACCATAAGTCATTCAGAGTGTTTTAATGTGAAATGTTGTTCTAGAGTCAGAATTATTCACAGGAGTGGTGATGGGAACCAGATATTTATGCTCTATACTTAACAGTTGGCATTGAGCAAAAATATAGACTGTCTGGGAAGCCCTGGGGACCACTGGTTTACGGCCCATGTCTTTCATCTTTCTTGTATTTTGTTATAATCATAATAAGATATTACCATTTTCCAACCTCTCATCATGACTTAAAATTAAACAGACTGCATTTGTTATGTGCCTTCAACACTGACACATGTAAATGACCTTGGTTCTGATTATTGTGTCGTGTTGAAAGACTGTTCAGGCTGAAACACTCCTTATAACTTCTGAGTGAATGGGCGGGGCTAAATTGCTGTAGGCTGACTAGGCATTTGCATTCGAATGCATTGGTATTTGTGCTATATACAAACAAATAATACAAAATGGGCTGTTTAAGCGGCTCAGGTTCTGTATATGGACTCGGAGGTAAACTGTTATTTCTAAAAAAGGTAATTTGGTTTTCCATGATTGATATTCCATAATACTCCAACAGTGTCCTTGCAGAGAAGGCATAGCGGCTTGCTTTTAAACTCATTGGTCTCTAAACCTCATCTTGCCTGTGCACTGCTCAATTAGCATGTAACTGCTAACTGTTTTTTACATTTCATTACATTACATTAACATTATGCTACATCACAGAAAGTGATAATATGAAATGGTTACAGATATATTACTTGAATTTTACAACATTTTTTCCAATAGGATTTTGGTCTAAAACATATTTTTAAAGTTCATTATTTAGATGCAAGACATTATAAGGAAAAATAGTCATGTGTCGGTTCACCAGTGGGTTTGCATAGTAAATAAAAAGGCATTTCTCTGCTTTCATGACTGCCACTATAAAGCAGAGCTGCCCCTCTGTTTAGTCTGAAGGTTGAATAAAAATAGACAAATAAAAGCAATTGGTCACTTTTTTGATGGTTCCATACAGATGATCTAGATACCTAAACTGTTAACAACCTTGCTGATGATACTGAATTGATTATCATCACCACTATAGTTAGAGTTAGATTTAGGAGTAAGTATGTCGCTGCTGTCGGAACAAAACCTTGTATCTCCAAAATGAGAACTTTACAAGAGAAGTACTTTACTTTTAACGTAAGTCAATGGAACCAGACCTTTTTTTTTCCAAGTCATTTTGGGCTGTTTCTTTTGGTCCATTCATTGGGAAATTTACATACAATGTTAAGGGCAACAGGTATTTTCAAATAAAACTAAAAAAAACTAAAACTAAAAAAAAACGACAAAAATGGAGATACAAGCTTTTATTCCGACAGCAACAATAGGTTTAGTGCTGAAGTTAAGGTTAGGTTTAGGTTTAGGAGTAGAGTCAGATTCAATAGAATCTATCACACTTCAGTTCAGTTGCATTTAATAAATTGAATATTACTCTAATACAGACTGAGCATCTTCAAAACATCTACAGTGACCCATCAAAATGAAGTGTTTTCTCACACTTAAATGAAAAAGTCTGCTAAAAATTGCACATTTCTCATTGTTCCTACTACTATTTCGTACTATTTCCTATTTCCTATTAACCTACGTACCATTTCATTTCCTCCAGTTTTCACCAGTTGAAAGGATGCATGGTGAGACTGTATAGTTCTTCATAAGGCTCAATTATGTTGTAACACACAGCAAATTCCATAGAGGTTTTATGCATTATTGTGCTTCATTTTAAATCCATAATGCGTTAACACTTCTAGTGTGGATCACAGCGCCAGTTTAAATCTGACTACAGATATTTAGAGAAACAAAAGCCATTCATATTCACTTCTTGTATGTCTTTACATCAGATTTAGCGCTAGTACTAGCATTAGTGTTCAGTCATTGCAGAGCTACAGGGAAGACATTACTGTAGTGTTAACTACAGAGACAACAGGACTACAAAATAAAAACATACTATTCATGATGAAAGTGCTGATGGTCTGTTATTCCAGTCTTTCTCTTTTCCCTCCCATCTTCATCCTTGGTGTCCTAGTATTCCTGTCGTTTATCAGTCCCAGTCAGTCCCCCATTTGTCAGCCCAGGTCAGTTCTTCCTTGCTCGCCTGTTACAGTTTCCGGATCCTTCCATATCTGGCCTTCTGTCCACCTCCTCTGCTGTCACACTGAGTGCTCCTCCAGTATGACCAAGGTCATTATAGCCACCATCTGCAAAGCAAAGGAGAGAGATGGGTCTACAGAACATTCTTACAGAGGAAAACCTACACACTACAAATCAATGGCAACGTTTAAATTCAATAACGTTCTAGTACATCACTTTCTACTTCAAACAGGACTCTGTAGGCTGTCAGTCAAAGGCTCTTTGCTCTAGCTGAACCACTTACAATGTCAAAAGGTAGAAACATTTATCACATTAAACTTATACAGTTTAATCTAATACTGTTTTAAAATATAATAACAAAAATGATTTGTTTCTGAGTACTGCATCCCACTCTATTCTCACAAAACAGAATGAAGTGCAGCTCCTCTGAGAGCTCATTTTTACAATGGGACATGGCATTACATTAAACAAAATATGACTATTCATAAAGATGATCTGTCTCCTCATAATTTGTGATAAAGGGGAATTCCACCAATTTTGAAAAATTCTGTCTAAATAAATGATTAACATGTAAACAAAGTCATTTGGACTGGCTTGATGTGAACTGCTGAATTCTAGAGAAAATTACAGCGTTAGAATTGTTCACAGAGGTGGTAACGGGAACCAGATGTCTTCAATGTGTTCAATGCTTCTGAAAGTTCCCTCACAGAAAGTTATTACATGCAATGATTATAAATACGCTGCAATACGATTTTTTTTTGTGATCAACTTTTTTATGAGCTTTCAACAGATGTGTAGCTTACTCAAAACAGATTCTTGAGTATATTCATGGTGGAGTGATACATAATGCAAAAATAGCCCCCAAAGAAAACTTCTTTTTTCAGATTTACCACTTTTTTACCATCATCATTACATATAAAACTCATAAGACATGCATAGTTCACTGTTGGTTTGGGATAGTAAATTATATGGCTGTGCTTATGTTGTAGACATTGTGACTCCTGGTTCCTCCACTGTAGAGAAATCAGAGTCTGTGTGTTTCTGCATAATGAACCATTTCACATCAGACCACTCTGAATGACTTTGTTTACATCTCAGTGATTGAATTGAGTATGTATCTAATAATGCTATGCACCCACTTACAATATGCACTGATTAAGCAAGGGTATTGAAGTCAAGCAGTGCTGACTCCTCTCTCTACTGCTACAGCTCCTAAACATGTTATTCAAATACGCAGATTATAGATCAGTGCAGTTTCAGTTGGAGCAATCAGAACCAGAGTGATTTTGTTCTATAACATGTTTAATAACGTTGATGACAGGCTAAAGCCCCCTCCCCCCTCAAAAAGAGGTGTAGCAGTGGTCCTTGTTTAATGAGTCATTATAAAGTCATTATAACACATTATTAAGAAGAAGTGGCACTACTAACACATTACATGGAAAACTCAGTATGTAATTAATACTTCTATACAACATCTGTACTTACACTGTTGACCACCACTCCCTCCCGCTTTGATGACAACTTTCAAAACTCACCCACACTCAGCCCTTACTTTGTGCCAGTGGTGGCATACCACATCCAAATAATCACTCATTTTCTCAAAATTTTGACGTAATATCTCAAAATAATTACATAGTATGTCAAAATATTTTTATTTTCTAAATATATAAGGATGTAGACTCTTGACATAATTCATATTATTCCAAAAAATTAGGACTATCTCAAAATGATTTGTATTATCTCAACATTAGGACTTAGTATCTAAAAATCATTATCGTCTTAAAATTATGCCTTAAGTATCTTGAAATAAGTATTATGTCAAAATTAGGACTTAATATTTCAAAATAACTACTTATGATCTTGACTTAGTATCTCAAAGTAAATACATATCTCAAAATGAAGACTCACTGTCTCGAAATAATTACTGATTATCTCAAAAGTTAGGGCTTAGTATCTATATATGATTCATATTATCTCAAAATTAGGACTTAGCATCTCGAAATAAATACCTATCTCAAAATGTTGACGTAGTATCCTAAAATTAGAATTAATATCTCAAAATAATTACGTTATCTTAAAATCATGACTATCATAAAATAAATACTTGTCTCAAAATGATCACTTAGTATCATGAAATTATTACATATTATATTGAAATTATATCTAAGTATCTTGAAATAATTGTTATCTCAAAATTAGGACTTCGTATCTCCAGGAAAACAACTTCTTTTCTCAAACTTAGACTAGTATGTTGAAAATAATTCCTTAATTTATTAAAATTGATTAAGTCTTTCTTTTTGACATAGCAAGTCATTATCTTGAGGTAAAAAGTCATTATTTTAACATAGCGAGTCATTATCTCGAGGTAATGTCATCCTTTTGACATAGTGAGTCATCATCTATAGGTAATAAGTCAATATTTTGACATAGTGAGTGATCATCTATTGGTAATAAGTCATCATTCTGACATAGTCATTATTTCGAGGTAGCAAATCATTATTTTGACATAGTGAGTCATTATCTCGAGGTAATAAGTCATAATTTTGAGATTCCAAGTCGAAATGTTGACATACAGCTGCCAGAACCTCAGAAGAAGAAAAAAGGCTATTTTTCTCCTCAATGATCTTCCATAAGAGCGCGTGGCAGCAAAAGTTGAAAATCTGGTTTTAACTTTTGTTGCGCGCGACAGCTCGTCGTTTCCTCTGCAGTTTCACGCGCTGTCCGGTGCAGCATCTTCATTGAAATGCGTGAGCAGCTGCTCCAGCCTCTGTCCTGAACGCACCGTCCTACCGTCGCCGTTCCCCTCCGTGACCTTCGCGCACGAGCTCAGATGTAGTCGTTGTCGGCGTCGCGGCAGATGTACCACAGGATAACGTAGAGGATGAGCAGGATGGCGAAGAGGAAGAGAGCGATGAAGACGGCTTTGGTCACCGGAGACACCATGGCTGTGCGGACGTGGTCATCACCTCGTTTGGATGCGCGCGGCGTTTCGACCAGCGGGCACGTCCTCCAAATATCTCGGTCCAATCACGAGCGACTGACACAGAGATGAAGGCGCTTCTTGGTCAGGAGTGAATCCACGCTGGGCTTCAGCTGCGCTTCTGTCCAGCTGAATGACCTGTTCACTGTAAATAATGATCATGTAATAAACTCAGTAATTCACTGTAATAATAATTATAATAATTCAATTTTCAAACGTTTATAGAACGTTTCTACTGAAATGAAGGGCATTAATGGAGAGTTTGCCCACCTTCACTGCAGCAACAGCCTCTGCTCTTCTGGGAAGACTTTACACTAGATGCTGAAACATTGCTGTGAGGATTTGATTGAGCATTAGTGAGGTCAGGTACTGATGTTGGAAGAGTCAGTTCTGGACACTCCAGCTCATCCTGAAGGTATTAGATGGAGCTCCATCACTCCAGAGTATGCAGTTCCACTGATTCATAGGACAGTGCTGGGGGGCTTTCTACCCCTCTAGCCGACGCTTGGTGACCTTAGACTCATATGCAGCTCTACTAGTGTTTATGCTGTATGTGCAGCTGTAATTATGTTTTAATTGACCACAGCATAATTAAGATTAAAGTCTAGAAATGTATCATAAGCACCCATTCATAATTTCTAAGATGCAATATACCCCAAAAAATAAAAAGGAGAGGCCATGAGCAGGATTGTTATCTTGAGATAATGAGTTAATTATTTCATGATCACAAGTAAACAACTTTGTTCTCTCCAGATAACAAGATAATTAACTAATTATTTCAATGTAATAACTTTGTTATCTTGAGATGACAAGTTAATTAACCCATTATCTCAATATAACAACTTTATCTTGAGATAACAAGATAATTAACTTGCTATTTTAAAATAACAACTTTTGTTATATTAATATAACAGGATAATTAACTCATTATTTTAAGATAACAACATTGTTATCTTGAGATAGCAAGAAAATTAACCCGTTATCTCAAGATAACAACTTTATCTTCAAATAACAAGATAATTAAATCATTATTTAAAAATAGCAACTTTTGTTATCTTGATGTAACAGGGTAATTAACTAGTTATTTCAAGATAACAATGTTGTTATTTTGAGATAATAAGATAATTAACCTGTTATCACAAGATAACAATCCAGAAAATTACCAAAAAACTACTTCATGGCCTCTCTAGACTTAAAAAAGTCAAATAGATTTTAAAATTTAAGTAAAATGTTTTTCAGGATTACAAGAACATGGTGAAAGGAAATTTAAAAAAGGAATAAAAATAGAGAAAAACAGTCTCAACAGGTCAAAACTTTCACACAAACACATAAACAAACTCTTAACTAAGACAAAAGCAAATGAAAATCAGCAGGCTTAAACTTTAAGAGGAGAGAGAGAGAGAGAGAGAGAGAGAGAGAGAGAGAGAGAAAGTGGGGTGGGGGGGTGAGAGCACCTGCTGGTGTCTTTCCCCTTTAACATAGACTTGGACAAAGCAGTTATAGATTTATACAAATTATAGGTAAATCAACCTCAGTCAAATACATAATTTCTTATTCACTATATTAAAATCAATACTATCATTATCTCCATGATTGTTCCATAAAGTGTACGAAACTTAAACTTATGATGAAATAAAAGAACACTGGATGACATTAATCATATGGGCAGTGTCAAATTAGTATCTTGTTGTTTGGCTTTGATGACCCTGAGTGGTTCCCATATGTCTGCTAAAACAGCTGATTCATCTTTACCATTCAAAATGATTATAATGCAGACTTGGGCTCAGAAACAAAACTGAACACAGTGTCATTGGTGAGATTCAGTCAACAAAGGCAGTGTCCCTCTTAATGATGTCAGGAAAAGTCGCTTTCAGTCAGAAGATTCCCAAATGGTCACCTTTCACCCTGTTATACAATGATGGGAATACCCAGGTCCAGCTCCTGAACAATCGGCCTTGCCCATGGCTGGTAGGACAGATTAGAGATGGGCATAAACAAGTCCTTATCTCATGTCACAGCTTCCTTCTCAATGACTGTCACAGGCCTTTCAGAGACACAAAGGCCAAAGAACTATTATTCCTAAAGATAAGAAATACACACACATTATCTAAGCTGCTTGTCCTCCTGGGTTGCGCCAGGGTGCTGGAGCCTATCCCAGTGCTCATTGGGTGGAAGGCAGAAAACACCCTGGACAGGTCGCCAGTCCATAACAAGGCAGACACACAGACATACACTTTCACACCTGGGGGCAATTTAACATGACTACATCTTTGAACTGTGTTAGGAAACCCACATAGACATTGGGAGCACAAGCAAACTCCACACAGAAAGGACCCTGGTCGCCCGACCAGGTAATCGAACCCAGGCCATTCTTGCTGTAAGCCACCCCAGTTCAAAATATAATCTTAAGCAAAAATATTATATTTTAAAAATATTCAATTTTGATTATGGGAGATACTCTATATCCTTTCACTAGTCAGTGCTCTATGGAGATTATACAAGCTGTGAAGGCCTGTGTCAGCAATAGGTGCACCTTCTAGTAGCAGGATTCACTAATTAGAAGGGCTGTCTGAATACCTTTAGTCAATATACACAAGAATTCATTAGTAGGATAAAGGTTCTATATAGAACCAGGAACACTCAAAGAACTAATATGCATGCTTTTTCAACTTATTTAAGGTACAAAATTGGACCTTAATACCACTGTTGTACCTTTGTGGGAACATTTACATTGTTTGTACCTTGATGAACAAACAGTTCACAGTACCTTTGAATGCATTTAGAGATAACAGCTGTGATTTGATTGTCCACGGACTGGACAAGTTTCTGGACACAGGTGACATCAATGTTCAGCCACTCTTGCATCAAAGAATTGCAAAGTTTGGCCAGATTTCGTGGATGCCTTCCCTGGCATCCTCCTCCTTGTTCCAGGTAGTCCCACAGAGTTTCTTGCATGCCACTGTGCTCCTTATGTTCCCTGCTGAGTGTTCTTGCAGAAGTTGGTTGTGAGGGGCCTTCATTGACTTCTAGAAGCAGTTCTTGCCTGGAAGTGATTTTTATTCACAAGCCGTGAAACACCCGCAGTCCCTGTCTGTCTGTTTCTTCTTCTTCTGCTTCTTTCCTGTGGACTGGGATTTTTGCTCCAGCTGGTCGACCCGTATGATCATACGTATGATGGCCTTTAGCAGTCCAATGCAATCACTCTTTTTTGCCAATCATTAACATCTGCTTTGCGACACATTTCCACACATTGATTGAGACATTCACACACTGTACCACCTCTTCTCAATCTATGAATCCTGTCGCACACCCCGCAGGTACTTATAGCCCGATTCATCTTGTGCAACGCCATTTGCTGGAACCTGAAGTTACTACCACCTTAAACGAGCAAGGTGACTCATTTTTTTGTCTGGGGAGCTTATATTTTGACTATTTTGAAGAACCTTTGGAGTGATCTATATGCATACTTGTTAATAAAATATTGATCACAAACATAAGTGGACCTCAGGGGGAAAAACATATAAGAAACATGTAAGTAAAACAACAGTTGTCACAATGCAACATGCATTTGGAAACAAAACATTCCCAAACATCATGAAGACTCTTTTAAAGTTAGTTTAAAGTTTAAGAAATGAACATGAAAAGTCCAGCACACCACAACGCAATTATTGAGAATTTAATAGCATTTCCAGATATTAATTACTATCATGCGTGTCTCCATTCAGTTCCCCACATGATAACCTAGATGAGTTGACACTGGAGTATTGAGATGTTTCATCATCGCTATCATCAGCAGCATTATCATTCAATACTTTATCATCAGTAACTGCAGACTCAGAGTTAAGAGTTTCAATGGTAGCAGCCACACAGATCTTGGTGGGATTTGTAGATGGAATGTCCAGTGTGGTGACCTGCTGACCATTGGGAAGTGTGTCTTCTGTGATTAAATGAGGGCTAGAGAGGATTTGTGACTGAGGCTTATCTCTAGAGGCAATGTCAGGGGCCAGTTGGTCAGCTGAACATTCAGGATCCTCCTTTAGGCGACTACGATTGGTTAATATCTGGACGAGCTCAGAAGCATGTTTCTGCTCCGTCACGATCTTCAGGATGAATCTGGGTTGACTGCTTCTGTCTGATTCATCAGCAGAAATGATCTCTATTTCTGCCATTCTCCTGAGAGGAGGAGGAAAAAGGCACTTGTTGAGTGAATGCAGTAAAAGAATGATGGAGATTTAAATTATGTAAATTATGTAAATTTCTATAAACAGAAATTGTGCAGTGAATTTGCAGAAAAATGTCATATTTAAGTGTGTCTCTGTACAGAATGTGTTAACTTACACTTAGAAAACCAACAAAACATGTCATTTGACTGGGCGTGTTCAAACATATACAACTCATATTTGAATATTATGGAATATTTGTCAAAAAGGTATTTTTTTGTATTTAAAATATTTCACATATTATTATGAAAGTATAGAAAATATACTGTAATTATCTATTTGCCATCATTTTGTCATATTATCTGCCTCACTATTTGATTACCACATTTCTGGAAGTCTGAATATTAATTTTATTATAACTTTATTCTGGATATTAATTATATTAGAATGTTATTCTGGATACTAATTTTATTCTAACTTTATTCTTGATATCATTTATATATATATATATATATATATATATATATATATATATGTATATATATATATATAATCTGGTTATAAATTTTTTCTAACTTTATTCTGGACATTAATTTTATTAGAACTTTGTTCTGAATATTAATTGCATTATATAATTATGTCTGGCTATTAATTTAATTTTAACTTTATCTTGTACATTCTGTTTAACTTCATTCTGTAACTGTATTATAAATTTGTTCTTGATTTGAATTTTATTAGAACTTCATTTTGGATGTTATTTTTGTTAAAACTTCAACCTGGATGTTA